TCTACAGTATACAGATGTGTGTTCAGATTATAATGACTGGCGCTGTCTACACTGATACAGTACACAGATGTGTGTTCAGATTATAATGACTGGCGCTGTCTACAGTATACAGATGTGTGTTCAGATTATAATGACTGACGCTGTCTACAGTATACAGATGTGTGTTCAGATTATAATGACTGACGCTGTCTACACTGATACAGTATACAGATGTGTGTTCAGATTATAATGACTGGCGCTGTCTACACTGATACAGTATACAGATGTGTGTTCAGATTATAATGACTGGCGCTGTCTACACTGATACAGTATACAGATGTGTGTTCAGATTATAATGACTGACGCTGTCTACACTGATACAGTATACAGATGTGTGTTCAGATTATAATGACTGATGCTGTCTACACTGATACAGTATACAGATGTGCGTTCAGATTATAATGACTGACGCTGTCTACACTGATACAGTATACAGATGTGCGTTCAGATTATAATGACTGACGCTGTCTACACTGATACAGTATACAGATGTGCGTTCAGATTATAATGACTGACGCTGTCTACACTGATACAGTATACAGATGTGCGTTCAGATTATAATGACTGACGCTGTCTACAGTATACAGATGTGCGTTCAGATTATAATGACTGACGCTGTCTACAGTATACAGATGTGTGTTCAGATTATAATGACTGACGCTGTCTACACTGATACAGTATACAGATGTGCGTTCAGATTATAATGACTGACGCTGTCTACACTGATAAAGTATACAGATGTGTGTTCAGATTATAATGACTGACGCTGTCTACAGTATACAGATGTGTGTTCAGATTATAATGACTGGCGCTGTCTACACTGATACAGTATACAGATGTGTGTTCAGATTATAATGACTGGCGCTGTCTACAGTATACAGATGTGTGTTCAGATTATAATGACTGACGCTGTCTACAGTATACAGATGTGTGTTCAGATTATAATGACTGACGCTGTCTACACTGATACAGTATACAGATGTGTGTTCAGATTATAATGACTGGCGCTGTACAGTATACAGATGTGCGTTCAGATTATAATGCATGACGCTGTCTACACTGATACAGTATACAGATGTGTGTTCAGATTATAATGACTGACGCTGTCTACACTGATACAGTATACAGATGTGCGTTCAGATTATAATGACTGACGCTGTCTACAGTATACAGATGTGCGTTCAGATTATAATGACTGACGCTGTCTACAGTATACAGATGTGTGTTCAGATTATAATGACTGACGCTGTCTACACTGATACAGTATACAGATGTGCGTTCAGATTATAATGACTGACGCTGTCTACACTGATAAAGTATACAGATGTGTGTTCAGATTATAATGACTGACGCTGTCTACAGTATACAGATGTGTGTTCAGATTATAATGACTGGCGCTGTCTACACTGATACAGTATACAGATGTGTGTTCAGATTATAATGACTGGCGCTGTCTACAGTATACAGATGTGTGTTCAGATTATAATGACTGGCGCTGTCTACACTGATACAGTATACAGATGTGTGTTCAGATTATAATGACTGGCGCTGTCTACAGTATACAGATGTGTGTTCAGATTATAATGACTGACGCTGTCTACAGTATACAGATGTGTGTTCAGATTATAATGACTGACGCTGTCTACACTGATACAGTATACAGATGTGTGTTCAGATTATAATGACTGGCGCTGTCTACAGTATACAGATGTGTGTTCAGATTATAATGACTGGCGCTGTCTACACTGATACAGTATACAGATGTGTGTTCAGATTATAATGACTGACGCTGTCTACACTGATACAGTATACAGATGTGTGTTCAGATTATAATGACTGATGCTGTCTACACTGATACAGTATACAGATGTGTGTTCAGATTATAATGACTGATGCTGTCTACACTGATACAGTATACAGATGTGTGTTCAGATTATAATGACTGACGCTGTCTACACTGATACAGTATACAGATGTGCGTTCAGATTATAATGACTGACGCTGTCTACACTGATACAGTATACAGATGTGTGTTCAGATTATAATGACTGGCGCTGTCTACACTGATACAGTATACAGATGTGTGTTCAGATTATAATGACTGACGCTGTCTACACTGATACAGTATACAGATGTGTGTTCAGATTATAATGACTGACGCTGTCTACACTGATACAGTATACAGATGTGTGTTCAGATTATAATGACTGACGCTGTCTACACTGATACAGTATACAGATGTGTGTTCAGATTATAATGACTGACGCTGTCTACACTGATACAGTATACAGATGTGTGTTCAGATTATAATGACTGGCGCTGTCTACACTGATACAGTATACAGATGTGTGTTCAGATTATAATGACTGACGCTGTCTACACTGATACAGTATACAGATGTGTGTTCAGATTATAATGACTGACGCTGTCTACACTGATACAGTATACAGATGTGCGTTCAGATTATAATGACTGACGCTGTCTACACTGATACAGTATACAGATGTGCGTTCAGATTATAATGACTGACGCTGTCTACACTGATACAGTATACAGATGTGTGTTCAGATTATAATGACTGACGCTGTCTACACTGATACAGTATACAGATGTGTGTTCAGATTATAATGACTGGCGCTGTCTACACTGATACAGTATACAGATGTGTGTTCAGATTATAATGACTGACGCTGTCTACACTGAAACAGTATACAGATGTGTGTTCAGATTATAATGACTGACGCTGTCTACACTGATACAGTATACAGATGTGTGTTCAGATTATAATGACTGATGCTGTCTACACTGATACAGTATACAGATGTGTGTTCAGATTATAATGACTGACGCTGTCTACACTGATACAGTATACAGATGTGTGTTCAGATTATAATGACTGACGCTGTCTACACTGATACAGTATACAGATGTGTGTTCAGATTATAATGACTGACGCTGTCTACACTGATACAGTATACAGATGTGCGTTCAGATTATAATGACTGACGCTGATACACTGATACAGTATACAGATGTGTGTTCAGATTATAATGTCTAATAGAAAAGGCTAAAGGAACAAGAGAAAAAGCTTAATATGATGGTGGTAAAGACAGAAAAAGCCATTTCCACAATGAAAAACATTGTGAATATTTCATGTACATTAAATTATATCTCTACAATTATTAACCCAGAAAAACAAACCCAAACTATTCTTGACACGCGTTAGTATGGAGCCTCTATGTATTCACTATGTCTATGGTTGATACTGTTTCCAGTGACGTTAGCCAATCATAACAGTGGGCGTTTATTGACACGCCTTAAAAACGAACGTTTCAGACAGAGGCTCAGAATGAAGCATGAAAATGATCGACTTTCCAGCTTTTGACGGCATGTCATTCCACTTCTAGATTTACATGGTATTCCCATGTACTTCAAAAAATACTATGGTGCTACTAGCATGGAGTATTTACAAAAACACGGTACTTTTGAAGCTTTTTTTGGTTCTTGAATGCAGAAACGGAGGATCTGTGAGTTCAGAAAGTAAGAACAGTTGACATTTATCAAGAAAGAAACGAGTCAAATGACACCCAGAACCTCTTAATCTGCTGAGAAGCGTGTGTGTGAGTGTGTGTGTGTGTGAGTGTGCTTGTGAATGATTAGATAAGCAGTTATGCTGAATTTTCACTTGGCTGTAAAGTTTCTGTTGAGAGTTGCTGATTGGAGCAGAATTAAAGTGTCATGCTGATTATTGTATCTCACCAACGGCTCCACACACACACACACACACACACACACACACACACACTAGAACTGTAGAATTCATTTAATTCAGCTCTGATTCCGCCTGTATCCCAGTTTCCCATAATTTAGCGGATATTCCAGTCTGTCGCTCTTCATATTCGTGATTTTTTCAACTTAAGAAAACTAAAGTTCATAATCAAGATTATATTTACATTCTTTCAGGCATCAGTTTTGTGGTTTATAAAGATATATTTATATTATGATCCATTATGAATCATACTGATCTTATGTAAAATCATATGTATATGTATATATCACGTTATAATTATATAATATATATATATATCATATAATAATAATGTTTTTATATTTTTATCATTTGTTTTCCCTACATTTATGATATTTTATATAAATTATACATACACACTCACTAACATATATAATTATATATATATACATATACATTTTATATAAAATATTATAAATGTAGGAAAAACAAATTATATAAAGATTAATATTGTATAATTATTTGTAATATATTATAATGTAAAATATGATACACATTTAAAGAAAACAATAATTATTCAACATAATTTTATTATATTTAATATAAATTATATTATTATTTATATATACATATATATAAAATAAGTACATATTTTTTAAAATATATATGTCAAATTAGAAAAATTTAAATGTATTATTATTTGTAATATATTTATATATTATAATTTAAAATATGATGCACATTTAAATAAAACAAACAAAAAATATTAATTTATTATATATATACATATATATATATATATGTGTGTGTGTGTATATAATTTAATTAAAACACATATAATATACATTTGAATATATAATATAATATATATTTGTTAATCCCACATTTGATATTTGATGTTCAGTGAGTGAATTGATCAGTGAGTCAAATATTAATCTTCATATGCGTGATGTTTCTCTCTGAGCAGTTCTTCCTCTGCACATGTAATTATTGTTATGTTGTGTGATTCATAAAGGACGTGTGTGTGTAATCCGGTGTTAATAACGCTCGTCTCCCGTGAGTTTACTGACTCGCTGCTGTAAGTTTGTTTAGTGCAGATTCATTTGTTTGCAGCTCCTGAGTACGAGAGCAGTGTGTGTTTGAGCTAAGCATGATCCTGTGTGTGTGTTTGAGCTGAGCATGATCGTGTGTGTGTGTGTGTGTGTGTGTGCAGCCGCTGGTCCGGTGTGTTCCCGCCGTCAGATCCCAGCACTCAGCGCCGGTGGCGTGGGCCGATGATGAGCGCCAGTGGACGGGTCAGGAGAGTCTGGCTCAGGACGACCCGCAGATGTGGGAGCTTCTGATGAAGGAGAAGGACAGGCAGTGCCGGGGACTCGAGCTCATCGCCTCAGAGGTGTGTGTGTGTGTGGTCATTCACTCATGTTCACACTGCTCTCAGTGAACGTGTCAATCACACCAGAGCAGTCATGTGATGCTTCATGTGAGGATCAGGTCAAGTCAGCTTTATTTATCCAGCGCTTTTTACAATACAGAGAGTTTCAATGCAGCTTTACAGAGATAACAGGAAAATAATGCAACAAATGTTATTTCTAGAAGAGAATAGCGTCACAGTCCAGCTTAAGTTCAGTGATGTTTCATTTTTGTTTGAAAAAAAGTTATTAATTTAGTTAATTTATATATACAGCTGCTCTGGAGAAAACAGTGATGTCATCGTCCAGCTCAGTTCAATTATCATATAATGGTGTCAGTGCAGGAGATCAATAATATTGTTGAATAATCAATTAAATGTCCCCAACTAAGCAAGCCAAAAGCCAAAGGCGACAGGAACCAAAACTCCATCAGTGACAGAATGTTGAAAAACCTTGGCAGAAACCAGACTCAGTCGCTCAGTTCTCCTCTGGCCAACGAGCCAACAGTGTGTGATTATGATCCAGGCAGCATTACAGGTCAGAGGTCAGATTGTATCAGAACATTTAGAATATTAACCAGTTCCCTAGCGTTGAAGATCAGATTCATCACGCCGGTATAGAGACGAGTTTGTTGAGGATCAGTGGCGATGGCTGTCGTGTCGATGAGGCCTTCACAGAGGAGAGTCTAGATCACACAAACTCTGCTGACACTTCAGGGATGTGTTGTGGTCGTGTCTAGGCGCAGGTCCTTCATCTGATCTGGATACGGCCCGGATCCGGCTGACTACATCATGCGTTGTGGTCGTGTCTAGGTGCAGGTCCTCCATCTGATCTGGATACGGCCCGGATCCGTCTGACTACATCATGTGTTGTGGTCGTGTCTAGGCGCAGGTCCTCCATCTGATCTGGATACGGCCCGGGTCCGGCTGACTACATCATGCGTTGTGGTCGTGTCTAGGCGCAGGTCCTCCATCTGATCTGGATACGGCCCGGATCCGGCTGACTACATCATGTGTTGTGGTCATGTCTAGGCGCAGGTCCTCCATCTGATCTGGATACGGCCCGGGTCCGGCTGACTACATCATGCGTTGTGGTCGTGTCTAGGCGCAGGTCCTCCATCTGATCTGGATATGGCCCGGATCCGGCTGACTACATCATGTGTTGTGGTCGTGTCTAGACGCAGGTCCTCCATCTGATCTGGATACGGCCCGGATCCGTCTGACTACATCATGCGTTGTGGTCGTGTCAAGGCGCAGGTCCTCCATCTGATCTGGATATGGCCCGGATCCGGCTGACTACATCATGTGTTGTGGTCGTGTCTAGGCGCAGATCCTCCATCTGATCTGGATACGGCCTGGATCCGGCTGACTACATCATGTGTTATTGTCATGTCTAGGCGCAGGTCCTCCATCTGATCTGGATACGGCCCGGATCCGGCTGACTACATCATGTGTTGTGGTCGTGTCTAGGCGCAGATCCTCCATCTGATCTGGATACGGCCCGGATCCGGCTGACTACATCATGTGTTGTGGTCATGTCTAGGCGCAGGTCCTCCATCTGATCTGGATACGGCCCGGATCCGGCTGACCACATCATGTGTTGTGGTCATGTCTAGGCGCAGGTCCTCCATCTGATCTGGATATGGCCCGGATCCGGCTGACTACATCATGTGTTGTGGTCATGTCTAGGCGCAGGTCCTCCATCTGATCTGGATACGGCCCGGGTCCGGCTGACTACATCATGTGTTGTGGTCATGTCTAGGCGCAGGTCCTCCATCTGATCTGGATACGGCCCGGGTCCGGCTGACTACATCATGCGTTGTGGTCGTGTCTAGGCGCAGGTCCTCCATCTGATCTGGATACGGCCTGGATCCGGCTGACTACATCATGTGTTGTGGTCATGTCTAGGCGCAGGTCCTCCATCTGATCTGGATATGGCCCGGATCCGGCTGACTACATCATGTGTTGTGGTCATGTCTAGGCGCAGGTCCTCCATCTGATCTGGATACGGCCTGGGTCCGGCTGACTACATCATGTGTTGTGGTCATGTCTAGGCGCAGGTCCTCCATCTGATCTGGATACGGCCCGGATCCGGCTGACTACATCATGCGTTGTGGTCGTGTCTAGGCGCAGGTCCTCCATCTGATCTGGATATGGCCCGGATCCGGCTGACTACATCATGTGTTGTGGTCGTGTCTAGGCGCAGATCCTCCATCTGATCTGGATATGGCCTGGGTCCGGCTGACTACATCATGTGTTGTGGTCATGTCTAGGCGCAGGTCCTCCATCTGATCTGGATACGGCCCGGGTCCGGCTGACTACATCATGCGTTGTGGTCATGTCTAGGCGCAGGTCCTCCATCTGATCTGGATACGGCCCGGATCCGGCTGACTACATCATGCGTTGTGGTCGTGTCTAGGCGCAGGTCCTCCATCTGATCTGGATATGGCCCGGATCCGGCTGACTACATCATGTGTTGTGGTCGTGTCTAGGCGCAGATCCTCCATCTGATCTGGATACGGCCTGGATCCGGCTGACTACATCATGTGTTATTGTCATGTCTAGGCGCAGGTCCTCCATCTGATCTGGATACGGCCCGGATCCGGCTGACTACATCATGTGTTGTGGTCGTGTCTAGGCGCAGATCCTCCATCTGATCTGGATACGGCCCGGATCCGGCTGACTACATCATGTGTTGTGGTCATGTCTAGGCGCAGGTCCTCCATCTGATCTGGATACGGCCCGGATCCGGCTGACCACATCATGTGTTGTGGTCATGTCTAGAAACAGGTCCTCCATCTGATCTGGATACGGCCTGGATCCGGCTGACTACATCATGTGTTGTGGTCATGTCTAGGCGCAGGTCCTCCATCTGATCTGGATACGGCCCGGATCCGTCTGACTACATCATGTGTTGTGGTCATGTCTAGGCGCAGGTCCTCCATCTGATCTGGACACGGCCCGGATCCGGCTGACTACATCATGCGTTGTGGTCGTGTCTAGGCGCAGGTCCTCCATCTGATCTGGATACGGCCCGGATCCGGCTGACTACATCATGCGTTGTGGTCATGTCTAGGCGCAGGTCCTCCATCTGATCTGGATACGGCCCGGATCCGGCTGACTACATCATGCGTTGTGGTCGTGTCTAGGCGCAGGTCCTCCATCTGATCTGGATACGGCCCGGATCCGGCTGACTACATCATGTGTTGTGGTCATGTCTAGGCGCAGGTCCTCCATCTGATCTGGATACGGCCCGGATCCGGCTGACTACATCATGTGTTGTGGTCATGTCTAGGCGCAGGTCCTCCATCTGATCTGGATACGGCCCGGATCCGGCTGACTACATCATGTGTTGTGGTCATGTCTAGGCGCAGGTCCTCCATCTGATCTGGATACGGCCCGGATCCGTCTGACTACATCATGTGTTGTGGTCATGTCTAGGCGCAGGTCCTCCATCTGATCTGGATACGGCCCGGATCCGGCTGACTACATCATGTGTTGTGGTCATGTCTAGGCGCAGGTCCTCCATCTGATCTGGATACGGCCCGGATCCGGCTGACTACATCATGCGTTGTGGTCATGTCTAGGCGCAGGTCCTCCATCTGATCTGGATACGGCCCGGATCCGGCTGACTACATCATGCGTTGTGGTCGTGTCTAGGCGCAGGTCCTCCATCTGGTCTGGATACGGCCTGGATAATAATAATTCATTACATTTATATAGCGCTTTTCTAGGCACTCAAAGCGCTTCACATGGAAGGGGGAATCACCTCAACCACCACCAGTGTGCAGCATCCACTTGGATGTTGCGACAGCAGCCATAGTGCGCCAGAACGCTCACCACACACCAGCTTACTGGTGGAGAGGAGACAGAGTGATGAAGCCAATCAGTGTATATATATATGGGGATGATTAGGAGGCCATGATGGACAGAGGCCACTGGGCAAATTTGGCCAGGATGCCGGGGTTACACCCCTACTCTTTCGAAAGACATCCTGGGATTTTTAATGACCAGAGAGAGTCAGGACCTCGGTTTAACGTCTCATCCGAAGGACGGTGCTCTTTGATAGTATAGTGTCCCCGTCACTATACTGGGGCGTTAGGACCCACACAGACCACAGGGTGAGCACCCCCTGCTGGCCTCACTAACACCTCTTCCAGCAGTAACCTGGTTTTCTCAGAAGGTCTCCCATCCAGGTACTAACCAGGCTCAGCCCTGCTTAGCTTCAGTGGGCAACCAGTCTTGGGCTACAGGGTGATATGGCTGCTGGAAAATCTCCATCGCTGCTCATTAATCAAATTGTGTGTGTGTGTGTGGGTGTGTGTGTGTGTTTTGACAGAACTTTTGCAGTCGAGCGGCTCTCGAGGCTCAGGGTTCGTGTCTCAACAACAAGTACTCTGAGGGATACCCGGGAAAAAGGTCTGTGTGTTTTTGTGTACAGATCTATTAATTTATTCAAAAGAAGTCCAGGAACAGACATGCTTGTTTTACACTATTTATTATTATTATTTTTTTTCTCTATTTAATTTATTTATTTGTATTTGTTTTTATATTATTTTTATTAACTTATTTTTTATTTATTTAATGATTTATTCTATTTTTATTTATAAATTCATTCATTCATTTTTCATTTGTTTTTGTATAAATTTATTTTATATTTGTATCATTTTTATTTTAGTACTTTATTTTTATTTATTTACCTGTATATATGTATTTATATATTTTTGCTGGTTTTGAGACTGATGAGTTGGTAAGGTTGATTGGATCACACTAGTCAGGTGCGGTTAGGGTTAACGTGTGTGTGTGTGCGTGTGTGTGTGCAGGTATTACGGCGGCGCTGAGGTGGTGGATCAGATCGAGCTGCTCTGCCAGAAGAGGGCGCTGGAGGCGTTCGATCTCGACCCGTCGCTGTGGGGTGTAAACGTCCAGCCGTACTCCGGCTCTCCGGCGAACTTCGCCGCTTATACAGCCGTCCTGAAGCCTCACGAGAGGATCATGGGCCTCGACCTGCCCGACGGGGGACAGTGAGTGAACATCTCTCTCTCTCATTCATTCTCTACCTCTCTCGCCCACTAGAATGTAATATATTCTCTGTTTGTCTCAGTCTCACTCACGGATACATGTCTGACGTCAAGCGGATCTCGGCCACTTCCATCTACTTCGAGTCGATGCCCTACAAACTCAACGTGAGTCTGTGAGTCTGTGAGTCTGTGAGTGTGTGAGTGTGTGAGTGTGTGAGTGAGTGAGTGAGTGAGTGAGTGAGAAGTTTCAGGAGTGAGAACCTCATTGAAATACAGGCGTTAATCCCCTAAATTATCATGTTTGTACGGAAGACTCGTTAAGACTCACAGTGTGTGTGTGTGAGATGGATGAGTGGTCAGTCCCCTCTATGGGAGAGATAATAGAAAATCGACAGGCGGCCCTCAAACACACACACACTTCAGCGTGATGGAGTGACCGACAGAGAGAGATTATCTGCTGTCCTGATCTCAGACGGACACAAGTTTGAGAGAGAGAGAGAGAGAGAGAGAGAGAGAGAGAGAGAGAGAGAGAGAGAGAGAGAGAGAGAGAGAGAGAGAGAGAGAGAGAGAGAGAGAGAGAGAGAGAGAGAGAGAGAGAGATGAGAGAGATGAGAGAGAGATGAGAGAGAGTGAGAGAGTAATGAGAGTGAGAGAGTGAGAGTGTAATGAGAGTGAGAGAGTAATGAGAGTGAGAGAGTAATGAGAGTGAGAGAGTAATGAGAGTGTAATGAGAGTGAGAGTGTAATGAGAGTGAGAGTGTAATGAGAGTGAGAGAGTAATGAGAGTGAGAGAGTAATGAGAGTGAGAGAGTAATGAGAGTGAGAGTGTAATGAGAGTGAGAGTGTAATGAGAGTGAGAGAGTAATGAGAGTGAGAGAGTAATGAGAGTGAGAGAGTAATGAGAGTGTAATGAGAGTGAGAGTGTAATGAGAGTGAGAGTGTAATGAGAGTGAGAGAGTAATGAGAGTGAGAGAGTAATGAGAGTGTAATGAGAGTGAGAGAGTAATGAGAGTGAGAGAGTAATGAGAGTGAGAGAGTAATGAGAGTGTAATGAGAGTGAGAGAGTAATGAGAGTGAGAGAGTAATGAGAGTGAGAGAGTAATGAGAGTGTAATGAGAGTGAGAGTGTAATGAGAGTGAGAGAGTAATGAGTGTAATGAGAGTGAGAGTGTAATGAGAGTGAGAGTGTAATGA